AGAGAGAGAGAGAGAGAGAGAGAGAGAGAGAGAGAGAGAGAGAGAGAGAGAGAGAGAGAGAGAGAGAGAGAGAGAGACATTAGTGAGAGAGAGAGGGAGCGGGAGAGGGGGAGACGGGTGCATACCTGTTCGTTTGTTGTGGTCAAAGCCGCTGGCGACCTGGGCTCTTCAATTGTATAATAATATCATAAATTTGAGTGGATTTCCAATTGGCGCTGCTTCACGTGTTGGCTCTCAAGTGTGGTGTGAACTTTCATCTGAACTTTCTCAACATGCATGTTGTGTTGAGAGTTGGATCTTGCGAGGTTCATTGCAACTGTGGACTTGGGACTCGAATTGGGATCGATGACGTTGTTCTGTTCGGTTGCTAGCTTGGCGTTGGAGTAGATCACTGATCCCCACCGGGGGCGGGATGATCATGCTGTTCATGTACAAATGAGGCCGCTATCTAGGAGGCGTCGGTGGAGATAGGCAATGTCTCTGCTGAAGAGTCCTCTGGCCAATCCTACCATAAATGCCTCGGCCGATGAGAACTCTGTGACGGCTGATCTGGCCTTTCATGATGATAAGGGTGATGACGAAGGGGAGGCAAGGGGGGGGGGGGGGGGGGGGGGGGAGGATGAGGAAGTAGAAGAGTTGGAGGAGGAGGAAGAAAAGGGCACAGTTGGTGGATGGGATGATGTAGTAGAACTTTAGAAGATATAGGTGGAGGTGCTGGTGGTGATGATGGCGGTGGTGGTGATGATGCTGGTTGTGGTGGTAGCGGAGGTGGCAGAACTCAGCAGCAGCCACATTGGTAGGATGCAGGCCGTCATGCCCTGCAGCCACTTTGACAGAATTTACGCTGTCTGTTGCGGCTGGCCTGGTTTCCAGCTGAGTTGCAGTATCCACATTAGCAGCTGCCATTCCAGTAGGAATAACGGGGCAGGGCGGGCCTGCGGCGTTTGGCTGTGTGGAGGGCTTGTACTCCTGTGGTCAGAATTGGTGTTTGGGAGTGGGTGGGGGCCCACTGTGTGTGGCTATGCTACCTGTGGGCAGAATTAGCGTTCAGCAGTGGGTGATCCACTGCCCACCACACCATGCGGTGAAACCAGTTCCTAAGCCGGGTGACGTGAGTGGGTTTTGTGTGTGTGTGTGTGTGTGTGTGTGTGTGTGTGTGTGTGTGTGTGTGTGTGTGTGTGTGTGTGTGTGTGTGTGTGTG